AATTTTATTACATTTTCATTTGTTTTATTTGTTTCTTTCGTAAAAAAGATGTTTTATTCTCAAGAACGATTAATGATAAATTCAACTTGTTAGTGTATAACTTAAGTCTTATGCATAGTTTTATAGTAATAATAAATGAATTAAAAAAAAAATGAAATGAAAAACAGCTCAAGCTTCCAAAAAGTCAATATAATTTTGAAGAATGCGTAAATCGTTTTGATTCGTCACCAATTCGGATAAATATTCGTTGAATGTGATGCAGATGTTGTAGAGACTGCGTTTGACGGCATTACGTAGAAGAATAGCGCCGCTGGGTTTTGACTGAAAGCTACGTAGATACGGTGAAACGGTATTGACATTGAATAGGCTTGGCGGCAGTTGATTAATGCTTTCCCTCAATTGAAGCAAAGTGGTGATGATTTCTGGTAGATTCATTTGAACCACACCATAACGATCCTCGTGCAATGAGTGAACGGCAATTGTCGATAAACCTTGCACCATCCAGCCGATTTCGTCAGCCTTGGAAATGGTGAGCAAAGCATGTAGTTGAGCCATTTCATTTTCACCGAATAAAAACCGAATGCCGGGCATGTTGAAAATGATCGTTTTCACACTTTGGATTTTATCTTGAAGAATGCACATGGTTTGATTGAAACGAGCACATGGATCGGATATCGGTTTGATGGGTGATAGTAGCTGTTCGTTGTCGGTTGGTGCCATTGGCGTCAGCATGTTTCGAATGCCACAACTCTCGTTGTACTGACGATTGCGGATTTTATCGGCCATTTCTGTGGCGGATGTTGGTGTTGACGAACGGAATTCCGGCACCGGCATCGCTTGCAAATTCGACGAAAATGGTTGCATGTATTTGGCTTGATTGGGCAGTACGTTGTTATTCAGTTTGATCTGTGGTAAATTTTTTAAATTGTTCACAGCTGTACGCAGCTCACTGTTGAATGCATTTATCAAACTCATGCACTGCGAACTCAACGCATTCCAATTGTATGGATGGCCGCCGGGAATTGACAATGCAAAAATCTGTTGACGTCGTTTGTACAAATCACCGTACTCCGACAGTGTGTACAGATCCAATGCGGCCAACTGACGTACAATCGGTACTTTGCTGTTGGCCAACGCTTGAACAAGGGTCACCTCGTTTACTTGCTGCTTATTGAACACATTGTCACTCAGTGATCCGGCTTCGATGGGAAACACCTTCGGTTGGGTCAAAAATGCTTGGAACAAAAATGCCATTAAGTGCAAATTGCTCAGAATATGCGTTATCAGAATCCAAGTGATGATCAGCAATTTGATGTCGTATACATGAACATTTCCGTTGAGCACAAATTCCACGCTGAGCAATCGTCTCAAGAACCATTGGAATGGCAAGCGTCCAATCAAACTGTAGAATACATGCGACACCATCACCGGCACAAACACTTGAATCAACGTCGTCCAAAGCACCGAATACAAAAATGCACGAATCCGCAGGTACTTGCTCTGATGAATGATTGGAAATTCGCATGATTCACTCGATGGATCCTTTTTCCAGCAATACCAAATCGCTATCAATGATCCGTACAACGAGATCAGCAGATATTTCTCGTTGACACAAATTTGGCTGGAACTTAATTTGTAGCTATCGGTTGAGCATTCGGAACGGCTTAAGAACAGTGTGTGATAATCGTCCGAGAGGAATCGTGAGTAGAACCACGTTGTCAGGATTCCGATGAGGAAATGCAGCGTATAAAATAAACACTTTGGCAATGTTGTCTTGTAAATGGTCATGAATCGATTGCGATACATTTGCCGTTCATTCAGATAGGATTTGCCCAAGTAAATCCCATAGATGATAACGATTGCGATCAGTGGGGTGATACAGAGCCATGTGTAAATTGACAAAATGAGCCGGAACGTCTGGACGATCCAATTTATCGGATGCCACACACTGAAATTCACAAACAGCAGGAACAGGGTGAGCAACAGAAATTGCATTGCCACATTACAAGTGACAGCACGCAAACAACGAATCACACATATTCTCTTGCACTCCAATTCGACTGTATTTACGGGCCGTGACGTTGGCTGCTGACCTACACCGGCTGATGCCGGCGGTAATAATGTGTTTTGCATTGCAATCGGCGAGGATTTTTTCTTCTGAATTTCACGTTTTTGCGCAACAATGTGTTTGGTTATACCGGCAAATAGCGATGATTGGTTAGGTGTGTAGTACAGTATCCCTGTTGAAGATTTTTATTCAATTTTATTCTCATTGTCCTTGAAACATTTTTAAGGCTTTATAAAAAAGAAACTCTCACCTGCTTTCCCTCGAACGAAACAATTCGGCTCAATGTAAAACTGTAGAATGGGTTTTGCCTCGCGCGAAAAGCAGTTGCTTTCGTTCTGTCAAGTCAAAGTTTTGAACGATGACATTTCTAGGCGACAATGCGACATCTACATATTAAGCACATAAGTTGCAGGGTTCTATTTACCTCAACATGATGAATGATTATTCAAAAAATAAACGAATTGTTTTCAGATCAAGGAATTTTTCATAGATAAAATAGAAAAATGGTCATAGAACGACCATCTTGATATGAACTTTTGAACTTTTTTACAATTACAAAGCAAATGACAATGCGTAGAATGTTTCATTTCGAACTCTCTTTCTCTCTCTCTCTCTCTTTTCTATCGTTAAAATGATAAAAACTAATGTTTTTTAGTAACAATTGGCTGAGCAGTGAATGCTTATAAATTTATTCGAAAAATAATAGCATTTGTAAATGGAATGCACTTTTTGTTGAGAAAAAACATATGAATACTTTTGGTCGCAATCGATTGGCATCAGTCTGTGTCCGCACATCAGTTTGGTTGGCGGCGTTGATCCAGAATGACACCGATCATCATCACAATGGCATCACAACTGTTTGAATGAAAGTGGAGAAACGAAATCTATAGAATACATACAATGCGCATCTTCGAATTAGGAAAAACGGGACTTACGCATCCACAGTGTTTTGGACGGTGTCACCCCAAACAAATAGACCCCTGCCTTTGACTATGAACGCTGGGCAATTTGGTTCTTTTGAACCACATTCCAACAAAACTTTTTGAGCAAGAGAGTCATCTGCACCGTTTTCCAATACTGGAATTTTTACGCTTTCTTTAGATGTGAATTTGCGACCGGTTTGCCAGTTGGTCAGAAGTTCAAGGCATCGGTGTCCGGTCAAAGAAAATGGACTTCCCACATTTTCAGCTTTCAATATTTCCTCATTCACCACGTGAACTGTGACCTTAATTGCATCTTTCCATTTCAAAAATGGTAGAAGAAATGGATCGAAGCAAATGTTATCGTTCTCTGCGACATCCATTGCCAAAGTGCCCTGGTGATTGTAATTGAGAAAAGTTAAGCCATCCCTTGCGCTATGAAAAAATGTTGGAAAGATACATTTAAATTTAGTCAATCTTTCGATGTCTGTCCAAAAAAACACTTACCTTAACGCGA